ATAAATAGCTACTTCCATGGAGCTGAGCCCTTCTTGAGAAGCCTCCAGTTGTGCAGCTACTCAAGAATTTCGCAACCTTATACGGAAACCGAAGGTTCATTACCATGTTCACAAAAGCCATCCACTGGTCTCTATCTTAAGCCAGATCAATCCCGTCCATGCCACGCCATCCTATCTCTCTAAGATCCATTTTAATATTATTCAGCCACCAACGCTTCGGTCTTCCTAGTGGTCTCTTTCGTTCTCGATTTCTCAAGAATATACTACATGCATTCCTCTTCTGCCCCGTTCGTGCTGCACGTTTTCTTAACTCGGAACAAAAATCTTACGAAAATTTGGTATAAGTCCCCTCTGTCGGCTGCTTTACACTACCAATCACTAATCTCTTATAGCGAATAAGTCGGATATATAAATATTGCTTCCTTCTCATTTCATGCCATCAGATAATAGCTTCGGTCGTACTAAACGCATAAAACGCAAGACACTTCACCTAGTTTATGTACGAAGGGATTAATGCAAATGCAGACCTATGTAGCTTAAAAGTAAATGGTTCCATTCAAATATTGGACTAATCTCTTTCATTCACCTTCGACGACAGGCTGTAGAAATGAAATGCGAAAATGAACCCTGTTAGCTGGATCGCACGGCTACATGGCATGGATTGCTGTTGTTTTATAGGATCAAGTTTCAGCTATTTTGTTGCTTTTTTGCACTAGACTTTGACATTCCAGTCTCGAGTTAGATGTTCCAATGATTTTCTAGGTGTATGTTCAAGTCTGACCCTTATGTCATCTAACTTCTACTCAGTAAGCAGTCGGCACTTATGTTTTTGTTTCTTGTCTATTAAGAATCCCGTTGATCTAAGTTTATTCAACCAACTGCGAATTGTTCTCTGCTGGGAACTCTTTCATAACAAAATTTACGTCGAAATTTTCGACGTATTTTACGTCGTATTTTAGGCAGGCGCCATACAATAATACACGTTGCTCTTAATTATACAGCACAACGACGTGCCACACTACTAACTCTTAACTGAGAAAGAATAGTTAATGGTGCTGATAACTGCTGCCTACTGCCGACAAATCATAAACAACTCCAACGCATGAACCGCACTGCTCGCCGTGAAACATAATGTCGTCAAGAGGTCCACAAGTTAATTAATTCCCTTCATTTCAAACGTTATCGGCAATCAGGCATGTTGATTCATCGGCAAAATTCGTATGCGCCTCGCAGATGGCGGTGTCAGGCAACAAAGGTAAAAAGCTCCCTGTATAAGGCCTGAACGAGGTACTCTCCCGGTATATGCTTAGAAGGTCTGAGAAAATTTAGAAAAGAGCCTCAGGCAGATTAGCCGGTGTCCCGATCGAGATTCGAACAAAGCACACCTCCTGAATGTGCCACGATCGTTACCGCTACGTCAATCTGTCCGGTGAACAGATATGCCCTGCCTCATTGCGGATATCTGAAGTAGAAAGAGACCAGTTTCAAAGCAACATATCTCTGACCTGCTTTTACCGGTTCTCACGGTCTCTTCGCTTACGGATTTCTTATATTTTTCTTCTACCCTGAAGATGGAGGCGATACGTTCCTCCGAAACATCGGTTAACACCACATATACACGGTGCCAAATCCCAAAAGACTGCTTTCTTCATAGTCACCGCCGTGAAAGCCTCAAATCTTACAAAGAATATATTTTCTTCGCCTATTCATATAGTGTGAAATTAACAAACAAACAAACAAACAAACAAACAAACAAACAGGCCTACTGTAAAGTGAACTGACCGTAAGACATTGGTCCTCTTCTCATTTCCACAAAGCAATTGTTTCCAAAACAAAAAGCAAACTCACTTAGTACACTGCATCAAATGTCAAACTCCGCCATTTTAAGGGCTGTGTAAGCAACTTAATCGTTACGCGAACATAATATCTTATCTAGAGCACGTGGCTTGCTTCATAAATGTAGTGCTCCAATGGTAAAATAAAATTTGTACGAGCGGTACAAAAACAAATAAAGAAGGCTGTAATACATGGCCTTTGAACCCGACTCTCAGTAGACATTCGGATCAAACGTAATGACCGTGAAAACGACAAACTGTCTCGTTTCGCCATCTGACAGTAACGCTACGAATTATCTGCTCAGACCTTAGGCGGAAAACGATTCCTCAACAATAATCACAACACTGTGTTCAAAAGAAAATCTTCGTGAAACATGTTTATTTATACACGCCTACATTTATTTGATTTATTATTGAAATCGGAGAATCTCACGGCACGTGACGCCATACAGAGGTACCTCATTACCATACTACGAGGAGTCACATCATCAGACACGGGATCGAACCCGGGCCGCCGCGTTGGGAAGCCAGCGACTAGCCGCTTGAGCTATGGCGCGGCCCGGTTGCGTAGTTGGTTGAGGGACTATGCTACAAGACGGAAGGTCGCGGGTTCGAGTCCCGATGAGGTGGATTTTTTCAATTTACCTAATCCTTCCAGCCTCACTATGGCCCTGTTGTCGGCTCAGCCTCTAACAGAAATGAGTACCAGGAATCTTCCTCGGGTGTAAACGGCGGCCGGCGAGTATGGCTGACAACCTTACCGCCATCTATGAGCCGATTGTCTAGAAAATATGGAAGCCTCAACGTCTCACAACCCTACGGTCCTCCACGGCCTCTTACAGAGACAGCTTTACCTTTATATGCGCGCGCATGCGTGCGGAAGGAACATTTGCAGGTGATTACACACGACTTCTACACTTCTGAACATTTGTTATACACACTAATGGAAGTTTAAAGGCATAACAAGCCACAGAAAGATCTACTGTCGCTTATAGGGTACAGAATACAAGAATCACCAGTCATTCTGTGTATGTCAAAACGAAAACGAGTCTCCTTCCAAGGAGAATGATGGATTCCTTTATTTGCTTCCAAAGATAAAATTGCAGCGGAGTGAAGTCTGGGGACCTGGAAGGATACTATAGAGTCACTGACTCAGACCGATGTTCGCTGAGGACATGTCACATTATGACGGAACTGTCTTGTTCAAAGAGGAACGAGACTCGAAGGTCATGTTCAAGCTGTGATATCAAGTAAAAGTTCCTGCGACACAACTTTTTGCCAGACTGCGGCGCACCCAAGAGCTGTGCAGGCAGTACGCGGATTCTGTCCTTAGCCATGTATTATGTAGACAGTCTATTATTTATAATCACCCTATGTACCTAGTGAACTGACGGTGCTATGCGCATGCAATCCGGATGGACTGCATAGTCAGAAAGGTGTCGTTAAATTAATTTGGTGAGCATCAACACCCTGACTTCATACTTTCCTTCTAGGCAAGAAATTCTGCTGGTTTCTTAAATTATATATGTCTCTATCAGTCTTCGTTTTGTGTCTTCACACAGTATTTTCGGGAAAGTAAACCCATTATGTGCCGGTCACGGTAGCCGAGCGGTCTAAGGCATGCACTGTCTTCGCTCGCTTGGAAACCGGGATCGTGGGTTCGAACCACACTCAGGGCATGGATGTTTAGCTTGTGTGTGTGCGTTTTTCCGTGTTTGTGTACAGGTAGAGGCCTTGCTACGCGCTGATAACCTGCCCAAGGAGTCGTACCGAATGTGTAAGATCTAGAAAAACCGAAGTGAACGGAGAAGTTCATGGAGGTAGGCCTAGGCCCACTGGGGCTGTAGTGCCAAGGAAAAAAAACCAATTATAATTTTCTATCGCAAGTTTAATGTAAAAGAACCTGGGAAAACTTGGCTCTAACGACGTAATATAATTTTGTGGTCAACGCAGTGTAAATATTCGACAGAAGGGAACGATATTATACAGCAATTATTTGACACAGACGGTTCTAGAGCAGATGTAATAATGAAGTCCCCTTAATTAGATCATATGAGTGACAGTAGTCACAATATAACTTTTATTGAAAAGAAAAACATAGACAGGACACATAGCGCTACATAGGCGTAAAAATATACAGCCAGAGGCAATATTCTATCTATCTATCGCTCTACAGTCCTTTTGTTGGACACTGGCCGCTTTTTCAGTTTCTTAATCCTATACACAGTCGGTAGGACTCCTTGGACGAGTGATGAGCCCGTCGCGAGACCGCTACCTGGACACAGGACAACACAAACACAGAATAAAGGCACACACAAACATACATGCCTCAAGTGGTGTTCGAACCCACGATCCAAGTTTTGAGCGTCCGAAAACAGTTCATGGCCTAGATTGAGCGGCCACTGTGATGGGGAGTGGCAATATTCAGAATCTGTTAATAATATGACCCTTCATTACCTTCCCTTTAATTCATCATACACAGTGTTTTACTCGATGGAAATAAATAAAATAGACTAAAACCTATAATTTTATAGAAACTTATGTTATTATGTTCGGAGTATACTGTACATATTTTTGTTAATTTGATTTAAAACGTATTCTGACGAGTTTATATCCTGTACACATTACATTGAGAACACATCTAGAATACGGCAAATAAATGCGAAAAATCTGATTGTTTTTTCCCAGTTTTTGAACCGCAGAATGTTTATTGTGACCATCTTCGAACATCCCTCTACAATGTCCTTCACTTTATATTATTTCATTATGCTCCCTCTGTAACTGGCTCTTATAGGTGTTANTCAAAGATGGCGGTAAGGTTGTCAGCCTTACACGCCGGCCGCGCTTTACTCCCCAGGAAAATTATTTAATTAATTCCTGGCACTCACTTCTGTTAGAGGCTGAGTCGACCCCAGGGCGGTTGGAAGGATTAGATCAACTGAAAAATACCCAATGACCTTATCGGGACGTGAACCCGCGACCTTCCGGCTTGTAGCATAGTGCCTCAACCACTACGCTACCGCGTGTCCCCCTGTTTAAAAGAGTACGTCGTAATATTTATCTTAAGTCTGGGGTTACTAATGTTGCAGCATCACTTAACAAAGCCAAGCTATACACATATCCCACAAGGAGAATTACTACTTTAGAAAACAATGTGATCCTTACCTGAATCTCCCTTCTTGACTCTGTCCCTGTGCTGATCTGCGCCACTCACAACTGGGGCTGAAACTTCAGACAGGGGGTCCTTGTTGTCCTTGAAGTGAGTGAGTGTTGTTATCATCTTGGCACTGCCGTCACTAGTGCAGTCTCCGACCATCAGTGGCTCAGCAACCACCATCTGCTGCCTATTCTGTGGGGGGGTCGGCACTTTAGCAATTGGGGAATCAGCGTTATCCCACATTTTCCTCTTCCGTCCTCCAGAAACTGTTATCCCACTGCTCACAGACGCAGAAGTGTTATTAACAGCTAGAGCCAGGTTATTCTTAACGTTATCCAAAGCCAATTTCAATTCATTAGGCCAGGAGAAAAGATCATCCGATCCATTATCATCTGACACTATTTCATTAGAGCTTGAAGCAGGGCTTATTGGGTCTGACCAGGTTCGATCTTTGTTTCCAACTTGTTCTTTGTTACATACAGTGACTTGTGTAGACGTTTCTATCGGGCTATTATCTGGGAAGTGTAGATCCATGATTCCAGCCACATCATTTAGTATGACCTGAACTTCCATGCCTCTGAGGACACGCATTTGATGGCTGTAGTTATGGAGGATCTCCCAGCATTGGAGCATTAAATTAAAACACTCACTGTGTCTAGGAGTAAAACAGAGAGAAGACTCTGTATATGAAACAATTTTCTGAGATTTTGATACCGTGTTAGTACAAAAATTTCGTTACAATGTTGGCTGGAATGTGATGTTTGGTCTTCACTATTACAAACGAAAACTGGAACTGTTCTGCAGAGATTATGTAACAGATGCCAGTTGTCCAGTCACGTGAAACATTATTTGGCTTCTAATAGATGTGAAAAAATTCACATGAACACTGTTACTGTATTTTGGATAACTTACAAATAAGACCAAACAAAATATTTGCAGAAAGCAGTAGTTAAACATATGTAATACTACTTCGTTAGTAGGTGAAGTTGGTATTTCTTGAAAATCACTACTATTTCAGCTTCTTGAAGGAATCTGTATCTTAGAATACGTCCTTGTGATATTACTATTAATTCAGCTTCTTTCAAGGACTGTGATCTCTTTTGCACTGAGTGCCAACTGATGTAATTCTGGATCAACACACCAGCTCCGCGCTTGAGTTTCTATACAAGGAGGTTTGATGGCAGCAGTAGGGACATACGGGGCACGATCTTCAGCACGACGACTTTTTCTCTGTCGACTCTGTTGTTTCTTCTGCTCACAAAACCTTCTAGCTCTATACACGACCATCACCATGACAACTTTGGGTGACAAAATAAAAACGAAATTCAGGTTGTCGTAGCAAGCGAGATCAAATATTATCACAAGATGATGACTGAGCCGCGCAAAAGCGGACAAACTATTATGGGAAACCCCAGTAACTAAATTATAATTTGGTAAAATGGCTGCACAAAGACGAAGTATGCACTTGAGACTCCAGGAGTCCTTCAGGTAAAAGGACTCACAAGCTATCTGCACCTCCTCAACCAGACAGACATGACTAGAGATGCAAAAGTATACCACTCCACCAGAAATCCTCAGTGAACTCATTAACAATTAATCCTGCATGTCGTGAACACTTACTATAGCAGTAAATGCCAAATGTCTAATATCCGTGGTAACCTGCAGTGGTGAGTGTACGTACTGGAAATAGATTAAACAACGTTCCCTCACTTAAAATGTACACAAAGTGGGCCTTCACTCTAGCTGTAATTTAGGCAACAAAATGTTCTTGCTAATAAGGAGCCAACTCTGACTGCAGGTAACGTCACACCCCTGATGAACAGATGGCGCAGTCCTCTTGCGTTCACGTTTGGGGATCCAGAAGAACCTACGGCGTGACGATGCCCTTTGGCATACGCCTAAAGGTTTAAACTGCGAAATGCCACTGCAGTACAGGTATTGGGTGGTACTAATTGTAGGCAGCTGTTGACTAGCAGAAGGCGGTGCGTCCCTGTCCCAATACATTCAGCGTCTCTGCAACACAGAAATAACAGGTATTATGTTAGATACTACGTCGACAGTAACATAAATTATACAGAATGTTTGCTCTGAGATATCAGTTTCACACAAAATGTTAATCCTTTTCAGCATATTATTTTCTCACAGTTTTCCTAAAATAATGCAGTTTTAGGGTAAAAATATGAAGAAAGACCGCAAAAAAACATTTAATTTTCGTGGCACAGCGAATAAAGTTTAATGATGAGGTTAAAAAGGAAGGATTATTTCTTAAAGTGGACTGAAGATGAACGTCACACAATACACGGTAATGTATGCCCGTTCAATTCCAGTCAAATATCGTAGAAATAGGGATGAGGTCAAGTACAATTGCACAAACCCTGATGACGTATGTTAAATATCCGTCAGTGGAACTTTCCTAACGGACAGACATCTCAACGAAGTTCAGAACAAACACAGGAGTACAAACCATTGCCAGATTTTAGGTCTGCGCCAACTCCATGGTACAGGGTCTTTCTGAATTTAAGAGCCACCCAGTGATTCAATAAATTCTCTGCCCTTAATGAAACTTGAAGGTGTACTAGACCATATCCTCAGCACACACCTTAACAACCTATTTTTAAGACCCATTACAACATCATCCTCCCATTCATTCGCTACAAATCCACACACAATATGCAGCATTCTGGAAGTTTTCATAGTTTCAGAAAAGCCTACTACTTCTTTCTTCAGGACAGAATAATATATGAAGACGGAGGGAAAAACTTATGATACACGACACGCTTCTTTCACTTACGCACAGCATTAGGACTTTAAGAACTGCAAAGCATGTGAGCCATCGTGTGACACAAAATTATTTCTGATGCAGAAGCTACATATTTTATTCCTAAACTGAAACAATTTTTTTTATTTACATAATATTAGCAATCAGAATTACGTTTGATTCTATAAGCTAATTTCCTGTAGGATTCTTCGTAACGTAGAGAGGGCTTATCCATAGATAAGTCCTCGTTACCCCTCTCTCAGGTCGGCTGGCCAATTCCTTCTTAGTCTTCGTCCATTGTGTGATTCCAGTAACGGCTGAATTAGTAAGTTCTCATGTCCTTCTATTTTGTTGAGGTATCTTGTGCTTTTCCCTTTTATGACTTCCTTCACTAGCTGCACCTTCAGGTCTTCATGGAGTGTTATATTGGAAACATACCGTGGGGCGTTAGTAATCATACGTAGTATCTTTGAATGACATCTTTGGATTATGAAAATATTGGTGAAACAATAATGACAACTTATTTTTTGTCTGCCAAACTTATCTGATTGAAAGAAAACTTTTAGATTTACGTATTTCCTTCTCTCCCACTCGAGTTGGAGACATCTGACAAATTATTATAATAAACTATACACATTATGACACTATTACGATGTGCAAGAAAGTATCAGAGTTGCAACATTTTTAGACGTAAAATATCTAATCAACTCCAGTTCCAAATACGTTTACACAACCAGATATATTAATACAGACCAGTAAGCATACATACAATGCATCAAACCAAAGTAACATTAATTTGGAGAAACAATGCTGTCACACGTGCAGTGTTTAAGTAGCACGCAACAGACAACAGTACTCTACACTGCATATGAACCATACCATGGAGCTATTTGGAATATCACCCTGCTTTGTTTTGCCAAAACTCTGCGATGGCTTCTGCAGAGATACTCTCAACAAAAAACAAACAAAGTCTGTGGCCTGTAGTCCGCAAGCGAACTATACCGACCGAGCGATCTACCGCCGCTTGTCGGCAAAGTTAGGGCCAACTTTTGCGGAGAGAGGGTGTCAAGTGACCAGCGCAACGAATTCTCACGGCCGCTAATCTCGCAGAGATACACTTAGAATTAATAACTCAAAGAATTTTTAGAAGTAAGCTGCCACGAAGGTCGGAATACATTCATTAAATTCTGCCTTCTGCTGCTATCACTCTGCAAATGTCATTACAGAAACTGTAGTATCAGCACTTTATAATCCTGAAATTCCTTAATAAGTCTCCACCGCTGAAGCAGTAATATTAAAGAAGGAACACACAGTGTCTACACATCTTGATAATTCAACAACTTGGACCATTCTATTATGGGGCTATCTATACATTTTATAACTAAATGCGGTACAATAAATTTCTGTATGGTATTTTATTTCACTCTTTGTTTCTTTGACGACGCTTTCAATGGCTTGGATTATATTGCGGCGTACAGACCCGTTGCTAAGTGGTGACTCTGTAAACAGCGGTCGTTGCTAGGTAACGCCCGCAACAACAGAACAACGGGGTCATAGAACCCGTTTCTAAGCAACTGCTCAATAAACACGTTCCGGTGGAAGTGCACACGCGCGCAACAAAAGAATGTGTCTTCGATGTGGTCCGCGCCGAGGAGTTATCTTGAAGACATGCTGCCTACCCCCGTGTGGAGGCGGGGTCGAATACCTCCACTGTGACCCTGCGAGTCGAAGGAGGCGACGAAAGAGAAGTCTCAAATCTGAGACAGTAAAATATGGTCGCGCGTCCTAATGGACTCGGACCCGAGAAAGAGTGCGCTGGCAAGGGCCAGCAGCATATACAAAAGACACACCCGTCCTCTCGTCAGGGAGGACGCCCCACAAAAGCATGACCGTAACTGTCAAAAAGTAACAAATATCTGGTCATGAGCCCCATCTTGTATAGTGCACAAGGAAGAATTTTCAATAACATGCTATGTGTGCAATACGTACACTTGATGAACGGCCAAGCGTATTCATAACAGACAACACCCATCTTCTCGTCAGAGAGGATGTTACATAAGGACTATTACAGCAGGAGTTTAGGTGGAAAAAATCTCTGGTCGTGAATCTCAAGGAGCCTGACACTAAGAAGAACCGATTGGCGGCAAACCACCAGTCGTAAAATAACTCTAGCGTTGACTTCGAACACTTGTTAGGTGAAAGTCAGCTTGTAAAGGGAAGACCAAGAGATTGGTGTGAAATGGCCGCCAGCCTGGGACCCAGTTAGTTGAGGGTTAGTAGTTCAGTCAAGTTCTGCAAGGGAGGCTGAGAAGAGATGGCGCTATAGTTGACAGCTGACAAGAACTCAATTGTTAAATATTCGTCGGACAGTAAGACGTAAGCACGGAATATGAAGAATCTCCATCGGTAGGAACCGTTACCAGGCAATGACTACTGGATATTGTAACAGACTGAGAACACTAATTAACTGCTTTTCTTTTTAAACAGAAGTAATTTTTGTCGTCAGGCACCGTTACAAAATGCTGCACATCGCAGTAACTCTCCACCAAAAGTCTGGACCTCACGAAAGGCGTTCTCGTGGTCCACAGGTCTGAAATCACTGCTTCAGAGTACAGGACAAGATCACGAAAAAAAAAAATCTACGAACATTTCTCCAGATATTTCCACATTCTAACACAGTTTAATTATAAGGTGTGGAACAGTGCGAGCTTACTGACTGTTACATCACGAATCGTTATGTCCTACATAAATAGCACACTATCCGCAATACGCAACTACGTCACGTTACCAGATAAATTAGTTAACCCTTTCCGTTCTACACAAGTTATCTAGCTTAAAGAACAGGCATCTTGTAAACTGAATGTATCTGATATCTGAAAAGAGAGGGAAAGAAATACGTTACACAAATTTCCGGTTTATGAGCAATAAAAATTATATGATACCACAGAAATATACTCATACTAACAGAATAAACGTTCTTTAAATAAAAACAATTGTGGAAAAGGTTAAGCATGTGGTCAAAACAGATGTAAATCTGAAACATTTTCAAGCCCCGTTCCGAGTTAGTGTGGAATCCATATTCTACATGGCAGATGAAACTTAGTTACGGTAATAGAGAGGCTTCCAGTACTAACTTTCACAGAAATACACTAATTGATGCGTACAGTGTGGCAGGCAGATGGGCAGGGCCAAGTGAAAAGCGACTAAGATTATTTGGTCTAAACTTACAGCAAGTCCTTTGCAACAAATCCTGATTATGGGTTCTTATCGCACTTAATGACGTCGCAATTTGAATCTTCCCAAGGACACCTTCATATATAGCGTCGTGTCTTACACTGAGTCAGTAATTATATCTTCAACTTTACACTACATTCTTGAAAGATCCAACAAAGTATACGGCTCGGTATTTATAGCGCTATTCTAGCACACCAATGTGAAAACCTTTCTTACTTCGTATATAAGGACATATGGCGCCGGGATAAAGTAATCGCTATAGCGACTAGCTATGAACAGAGGGGTCGGACTTCGAGTCTCGGTGGGGTCAACGAACTTCTCGTCTCCACGTGGTCCAGACCAGTTCTGGGGTCCAACCAATCCTCTATCCAATTTATACCGGGGATCTTTCTCAGGGAGTAAAGCGGCCAGGGGGTGAAACTGACCACTCACCTTCAGCTAGTGCAGAGATCAAGAAAATGTTGATCTATATATCGACTCCCCCACACGCCTTCATGGTGTAGTGCTTTATTAGTTAAGCATAAGGACAATTTTAACTTTTACCTTTCACAGAAAGACATACTTCACCCAGCATCTCGAACAACTGGAGGCATTTTATTTTCCGGATGAAGACTGCTAGTACATTTCGGGCCAACGATGATTACTACAGTAAAATGGAAGTTGGGAAGTTTGTGGCTGAATTAAAAGGAGTTTACACTTAAGAGAGGCACTCCTAACATGTCATATAACAGTCCAAAGAAAATGGTACTACAACTGCAATTTAATTTAGTAAAGTTATAATGTGCTTATTAAACACAATCTTCGGTATATACAGCAAGTACTGATAAAAGATGCCAACGGCATTCAGACCGAGTCCAGCGCGGCCTTCCCTGAACTCGACAGCCATGCGACCTGCACTGAACATTACGAACGCTTCCTCTTATCAGTAAATAGTAGAATGTCCTTCTGCGTCAGCGGCAAATACTGTGCCACGAAGCAACATCCAACCTGATCATGGATTGACGATGGCAGAGCCCCAAAT